CATTTGGGCTGGTACAAGCTAGGGCAGCATGCTCTGCAGAGGCATCTGTTCCTATGCCTCACGAATGTGTGATTTGAAAAGCACAAACTAGACAGGAAGGTGGTTGGATCATTGGATGGATGTACCCAGGAAGAATGGATAGATTGGTGGATACAGGATGACTGCAGGGCTGGATACAAGATGGATGTATAGAGGAGATATGCAGGATAGAAAGGATGGATGGAAGGGGCATGAATGCGGGTTGGTTTCGTCTTGGGTAAGGAATGGGCCCTTCAGTATGACATCCTTTGTTGTCTTACTGAAGCTGATGTGAAGAGCAGTTTGTCATCTTGGATTCACATCACTGTTCTCTGCCTTTCTGTGCTGTGGCTTAAGCCACTCTCTGTTCCCCATGTATCTGAGGTTGGCTTGGTCCCCCCTTACCGGAAATTTCTTGCTCTGGTGAATGCACGCATCACCTTACCATTGCTTTGCCATCTTGACCGTGGTTTGAGGTCTGGTCTGGCTCAAGCACGATGTGGACACAAATTATCCTTCCCCTGTGTTTTCTAGCGTCATAGAAGGATTTCACCTTATCAATAAACCTCTGAGGTTGCTTTATCTGGCCTACCATGCACAACTACTATCCAAATATTTGCAAATCAACCAGCAACCACATTTTAACCATCCACTTGATTCTACTTTTATGAAACTAGGTCCTTTTTTATCCTACTGCGCAGTTGTTAGTTCGCCATTGTTCCGCCCTTTTACTTGTGTTTATAGTAAAAGGTGCGGCCTATCTCGGTTTTTTATCATTGCAACTAAAGCAACTTTGAACAACTCAACAAGTTAATAAAAAAAAAATTTTCCTTTTGCCTTTCTTCGACACTTGATAAACCTTATGATCTGATTGTGATAGTGTTGTAATACCCTTTCTTCATATTCCGAATGTCTCTTTTAGTAGTGACAGATGAAGTACAAGCATTTACTTCTGGCAGCGACTTATTTTTTACCTCATCGAAATCTCTTAACTAGGGCATTAGATCTAAGGAGGTCGGAGGTAAAGTAGGCTGCACTCTTACAACAGCCACACATCCCTTCCTCACACCGGAAGGAAGCATTTCCTTCATAGCGTGACTGCATTATTACGAGTCGCGATTTCAGGAGGTTCTTGGCGGTCTACAGCGATAACCAAATGAGCGCGTGGCGTTTAATTAACTCGACTCACTTTTTCATTTTAGAAAGAAAGAAGGAAGGAAAGGAAGAAGGACGAGAGAGAAATCACATCAAGCGCCTAAATCAAATAATATAAACTTGAATATTGTTCTGTTGATGAATCCTTTCTTAAACCAGATTTATTCGTCTGCACTCGTGTCTGGCGCCGTTTTTATTTACCCGATTTAAACAAGAGGCGGTAAAAAAGAAATCCACATTTTAGCACCCTTTTGTTTAGTGAGTCTAACTAGACACAGGTTCCTTTCCCACTTTTTTTCTAAATTTTTAGTGTCTCGAGGCAAAAGACAATTTGCTGTCTCCCTTTCCCCCTCGGGTAATTTTCGGCTGTCTGGTTTGCATTAAATCATGCGACAGTGTGATGTTAGGAAAAGTTTTGGCAGTCTTATGGCGAATTGTGATGCGATTAAGGAGAATGTGAATGGGACGTTAGTCCCATACTCTTTTACCGCGCAAAGCAAATTAATCAGTTAACAGTTCAACAGAGATGAATTTTTAATAAAGGTGGAATGAATTGGTGGACTTTTGACGCTGCTGCCATCTGACAGCATATGATGTGTAGGTGTGGTCCATTTGCTCAGCTTTTGAGAATCTCTCTTCCCAATCGACATCGGCAGAAATGAACTGTCTGTGACCAATCTCTCTTGCAGCGATCCCTCACCCAAGTCAAGCTGTTTGTTTAAACTACCTGTTTCTGGGAGAGGCACACTTGACAACTCCGATCCCACATTCATGGCACCCCACGAGCCATCTCGCGCATTTATTTCTAACCCTTCAATGTCTTCTAAGCGGCTTTTCATCCCTCCATGCTGTCCAGCTGTCGGCCAGTGACAATGGGGTAGCTCCAGCGACCCTTCTCAATGACTGCTGCTAGGAAGTTCTCTATTTGTAAAATGGAAAACTTGTAGCTTGCTTATCAGAATTTCCATAATTTTGTCATTTTAATGCATTGTAGCGAAAAAGGCGCTTAAATTAGGTAAGGTTTGCTATTTAATTGTTGTTTTTTTCTTTTTTGGGAAAAATGAGGCGTAATTACTGCATTTCCTGATCTCCAAACAAGGTAGTTTGAAGTTAGCAATGCTCAAAAAACAGAGGGGACTACTTTAAAACATTAATGCCTTCTTATTGTCGTCTGCCGAGAAGAATTTAAAAGGCTATATAAAAAATCACTTTGTTAACAGTAGTTATTGCGTCAGGGTAGAGGATGAAGCGTTCTTGAGGACGTGGAAGAGTAAACCGTCATAGAATACATTGTTTTTGATCGTTCACCTCATCATAGCTCTTATTGGGCGGTAATGTTGGATCACAGTGGTCCTTATTTAGTTGGAGAGGGGGCTCGCTAGTGTTAAGAGGTTGGGGACTCCCTGGGCCATTCGCCTTTTCAACATCCCAGAATACTAAGTAGACAAATTCAATCAACTCCACGATTATAGCGGCGGTAAGACCGATGAAGATAGAGCAGAGACCACCCACCCTTGAGATAAGAATGTAGATATCAAAGATGAGACGCTCTTCCTTATAAGTGGTCTCGTAGGAGGTACGGACAAGGCTAATGTAGGTGTAGGAGTTCTGATTCTCAAAGTCCTCAATGCGTAGATGGGACATGGAGCTATTTTGAGTCGTGTGATTGCCCTCTAGACCGATGACATTTTTGAGGTACTTCACAAGGCGTTCTCGTTCCATCGGATCGTCGTAGTTATTGAGGAGGCGTTCAACTCGTTTAAATTTATCAGTGAAATGTTGCAATTTCTCCGGAATCGGTTCCCACGACGCGATACTAGCACTTAGAGGGTAGGTGTAAAATGAGCAACGAGGGATGCAGATCCGCTTTCTAATAGCTGACTCTTTGATATACTTCAGATTGTGGAGGAGATTGGTGGTGCAGTTCAGACGCTTGACAATGCTCTCAAGAATGGTGGGGTCACGTGCGTCCTTTGGGAGGGCTGAGCAGTAGGGCACCTTGGTGTTCACAAGGTCGGGATTTATAGATCTTGGCCACTCGGAATTGAGACAGCCGCATTGGTTTATGGAGATATTCTGTAAAAAGCTGTCCAGACACTGATTCATGCGGTAGGAGTACTGTTTTCCCATGTCAGTGATAGGCGGAGGGTCATCTAGACAGGGAGCTGTCGGCGTTTGCAATCGAACCCATCTCTCGGTGTTGAAGGAGAGCTCGTTCATCCTCCCCGGTTGCACGTTGATTCCGTGTTTATCAATCTCGGGATAGGTGCCACTTTGATGAACAACCAGTTTAACTCCCTCGCCACGAGAAAATGTATCCATTACAAAGTTCTTTCTACTCTCATTTATCTCCTTAGAGGAGACAAGACTGAGAAGGAGAGTTAAACGAACGGTGTCTTTCGTGGATTTATTGTCAGCAGTCTCGATGGTCCAACAATTGAAGTACTTAGGATGGGAGAATCGTTGTTTTGTAAATCCAGTGTCCTCCTCAATTCTACAGTTCTCTGCAACAATATTGACACCATCTACAGTAACCATACAATGTGGAAACATTGTGGTCTGATGTCCGAGGCGTCTGGACTCCTCAGGCCGAAGATTTGCAAAGTAGGTGTCGGTGGAGTCTTGAAGCAGGAGACTGGCGTACTCAGGATTGCCGTTCTCAATGAAGGCTAGAGTTATGGCACTGAGTTGACGGTTAAATTCACTGGGAGTAAGGATGGAAGCCTTGGCCCAAATATGATTAGCCTCCAAGGCGAAGGGATTGTGCGCGCAAATGGTGATAGCCGGAAAATCTGTCTTGTCATCAATAAGGGTTCGTGAATGCCAGGAGGTGCTGAAGGAGAGGAAATCTCTTGCAAGGAAACTAATGGTAATGACCAATGCTCCCGTCATAAGGACTACAAAGAGGGACCAAATTATCCGAATAAAGGGAGTTTGAGCACGTTTAATCCGTTGAACGCCTCGAATGGAAGTGAGATCACAGAAGATGGCAAATTTGCTTTGTTTCCGCATCACCGATTTTGATTTTTCCGGCTAAAAATCTAAAATCGGAAAATGAAGTGCTATTTTTCGGTGATTTTTATACTCCACAACCAGGTTTTCCTTTTATGGGTGAAAAAAATCTGTTAGATGAAGATACTATTCGAGTGAAAGGCGTTCAGGAAACCTTTTCGGTTCCTTTTTTTTGAAAAAAGGGAGGATAAAAGAGGATTGTAGGACCTTATGTAGTTGAATAGTTCAGCATCACACCGACTGCCAAAAGGCAGCCGCGCTAAAGTGATATTACCCATTTCGGCTATTTCTTGTTTTAAACATTACCTCATTTTGGAAGATTTTTGAATCCTGGGTTGCTTGAGCCACAAGTAATATCTCCCCCCCTCCCCACTTAATTCTTCATTCATTACATACACTTCTAAATGTTAATTTTTGACTCCAAGTGAAGGAATTATGCACGTTACTAAGATTCAGCATCATTAACATTAGAGTTTATGGAGAAGGCCAGCCTAGAAGGAAGGAAACATTGACCTACAGTAGGAAAGCTGATCTCAGGAATATCCAATTTTCTGTATTACTTAACCAGCCTCTTCAGGAGGGCTACATACTATTTAAGGGAAAGGAACGAGGTTGCGAAAATTTGTTCCTTTTTTTACTCCTACGTCACTTAATAATTTGAAGAATCGTGGAGGCGTTTTGGGCTGACCTGAGATTAAATGCTTTTCCCATTTCCATCCAGTCAGGAGAATTTCTCCATTGCCTACCACTTACTTTGTTCATTCCATTTGAAATCCTACCGAAGGGCAATCAAAAGCCAAAATCTTGGGCGTTAACATATTTTTTGACACACATTTCTCATGAGGGATGCTGAAGTCGTGCTGAAAGGGCGCGGGATGGGGAGAAGTAGGAGGGAGTCGCAAACAAATAACCAACTGTTGTATTCTACGCTTAGACGACACCTCACAGTGGTTTTGTTTGTTCCCATCAAACACCCTGCACGGCACTTTGACAAAACAAAACACTTTAGGTTGGCAGGCGATTCACCGAACTCTAACTCAAAATGAGCTGCAAAATCTCTAAAGTTTCCGTAAAACGATGCAAATTATTCAAGAATTTCGTTGTGGGTAATTGAGCTACTACTGTTGAGAATACAAAACTGAGATGAAGGAGTCAGCCAAGCTCCAATGCCCGTTAAGGTCTATTCACAGCATTGACAATGACCTCTCCTTAAAAAGGGGGAGGCTTACAGTTGATCTATCATGCAACAATTGAAGACAATAGGCCTAAAAAACTGCCAGCTTACTCTTCTTATGTCCCTCGTTGTTTGGATTTTTTCCATGCTGATTTGTGACAAGGAGTAGCTTTGTGGTGTAACGTTTAAACACCCACCCCACCCCATCCCACCAATATCAACATTCCTGAGGTGCAAATCATTTCAAACCCGTAGGGTCTATGTCAGCTTTATGTGCGAAAGTGAGTGTAATAAGGTGAAGACACAATTGTCCACACTGAACTTTTCCGTGTTAAAAATCATGCAGTATTTACGGATGACGTCTCTCTGCTTAACAAAATCGGACCTACCTCGAAGGTGTGCAAGAATGGCTTTCATTCCTTCTTTTGGGAAACAATTACTAGATTAAAGACTAATCATTGAGCATGAAGAATGTTTTACCCTTGTAAGATGGCTCAAGTCTAACTATTCCATGCTCTGATAAAAAATGCCTCTTCCTCGTCTTTATCGTTTATATCCCCCCTTCTCTTTTATTAAAATTTTCGGCGATTTCACCTTTTCATGGTTACAGCCTTAGTAAACCAAATATTAACAAGGAAAGTAGACAAATAGCGCTAAAAATAAAGAGGCGATTGGAACGGAGGCAGACAGGGTAGTGTTTACTTCTAAGACTTTGGGAGCAAAATGATGAATAAAAGGGGGACCTTAATCAAGTTTTCTTCTAGGTGCGAAAGGGATATAGGAGCTACTGGCAGTTATTTCTGCAAAAAATTCCCACGCGTTTTACGGAATTACGTCTTACAACAAGTAAGCCATGTCAATTTTATATAGCAAAAATATTGCCAACCCACTTCTCTTCTTTCGGAGCAGGGTTGGTGTAAATCATTTTTAGGCTAAACAATCATTTACTCCTTCTAAAGCATGCTAAAGCTGACAGTATTATATTTGTATATTTTAATACTACATATTTGCCTTAGTGCCATCATTTTAAACTTATTAACTGGCATCTTATCCACTTTTTAATAGTTTTTGGGCCCCTTCAAAAGAACCAATTATTTTATTAGGTAACAGGTATTATGCTTTTATATAAAGAACCCATGTTTAACATTGTTTATTGACGTAGCGATCTTCATTAGCAGGTGTCATAAATACCGCACAATTTAAGTTTGTTGCATTCTGAAGGCATTAAGTGGTGGATGGGGTGGGGAGCCCTACCTTAGAAAGTTATAATTGAATAGATGTAAATACACCAGGGATAGGGGTGAGTAAAATGGAATTATAGAATTGAAAATGGCAGACTAACCTTTGTTAATAATCTTTTTGATTTACTCCATTTTCAGGAGTGAAATAGGAGGTCTGCTTATGGCTGTGGGTACTGGCAGGCACGTTAATTCTAATTGGTCACCTTAAATTGGCCAATCTCATTAATCCTCACTCCAACTATCTCCATCCTCCTCCCTCTCCCTCCCTCGCTGTTATTAGCATTTGGCCTGTATTTAAATAAGTAGCAAGGTATGTATTTTCCAGATTTCTTGCATGCCTTTGGACGATTGATACCTCGACCAAATTTAACCCTGTCTAAGTGGAATTTTTATGTTTCCTATAAGAATAAACTTGTTTTAACCGATTTAGGAAATTTACCAAATATTCAGATAAATTTCCCGTAACTACGTTTCCACTAAGTTGAGTCAGTTATGCGAACTAATGTACGTACATGTAGTTGACTGAATGGGTTCTTCAGTCGCCTCGAGTTATTCCAGTCTAGGCATTGTCCATCGAGATGGAAACCAAATGGTAGTGCGGGTGCATGGAATTCCATGTAATGATGAAAGCGTAAAATCCGGTTGACATTAGGCAAAATTTATTTGGTGAGAGAACACTCAGCCACAATAGAACATCTACCCAATGGCGGTCTTGCATATGGTGGTCAGTGACGACGCCAGGTGTGGTGAATTCCACTTCACAGCACAGTAGCCAGTCGAGGTTGATAAGTCAAGGTAGATCCCATTTTTTTTCCCATCACAAAGCCATTGAGTTAAAGGAACGTTTGATTAAGTCGTTTTGTGTTGAGCCACCACGGTTGTTTCACACAGTTAAATTTCTCATTTACATTATATTTGTTGGAAAAGTGCTTTGCATGCCTGCATTATTTAGGGGTTAAGGCAAATTGGTCGCCTCCACTCCCCGCACGCCATTGTTTTGACTCCCATGGGTGCAGTTGGTAAAGCACACATCATACCTTTACCGATGGTTGAAGAAGTTCCCTTCTACCAGGCGATGTATAAATTTTTAAGGGAGTCAAGCCGAATAGTTCAACGCATTAATCTGCCGACGGTTATGATGAGATGATACATTCTCTGCCAGCCCTTATTTTTTCACCTCAGCCCGCACGTCACGTGCGCATGAAATGCGGGCTTTGTTAGGTCATGATAAGACTACCAAACACAGCTGGACTGGATTTGAAACAAACAGCGCAGACGAAGGGTTTTTTTTATCACAGTTGGATAAATACACGCACGATCTGTGGCGGTGGAGAAAGGGCTAAATGGGTTGTACGAAACGAAGTCGCGTCCTTCAATGTATGGATGGCCTTATTCAGTAAGTTCAGGAGACTTGCTCACTCCATTTGACTTCCACCTACGGAATGTTACACTGATCTTGAGGTTAAAGGTCGGTGGAAGCTAAATCCGCAGCAAAAATCACAAGTGGAAGGGCTGATAAAGCTGTCCTAAATTCTAGCAACAATTCCAACGATAAAGCTAGGCCTAAAGGGAACAAATCAGAAATTTTCTTTTGCGAATTGCTGTGAATGTAGGAGTTAATTCCATGACCTAAAAATATCATAATATCATCTCGCAAACCTTCTACGCGAAGTATATGAAATATGAACTACGGCCAAGGTGGAACACTCCCCCTCCCGCCTTTGGCACTGATTACGTATTGTACGTAGTTAAACTCCTATTCCACAGAGGCTGAATGGGTTTTGTTAAATTTTGTCATTAAACAAAAAAGCGACTAATAAATAAGCTTTTTAGGAGCTGTGTGGACAGTTTAAAGGAAAATTTTGAGATAATTTAGGGGTGCGATCTGTAACACGCTGGTTGTTTAACTGCCCGTTTTGGTAAAGGGGCCACTTTGGGTAGCCACTATTGTTTCGTCGCCGGCTGTTCTCACTTCCAGAGCATGTAAATAGCCCCAATCCCCTCTGTGGATCGGTAATACATGTTCTGCTTGAGTATTATGCCTTCATAGAAGTCTCAGGGCGCTGCATTGGTGGCAGCGGAAAGCGGGCTTGATCCTAAAGAACATCCGGCCTGACTTCTAATGTGGGGTGATAAACTTTGCAAGGCGGAAGAAATGCATATGCTACGGATGGAAGAATCGGTGCTGACCCATAACAAAAGGGTCGGAAACGACATCTATATTTGTCACCTACGCCATTCCCATGTTCTATATGAAGGTTACTAACCACTATAGCGATACTAGCCCCTAACTATCTGAAAAAAGTTTGTTGTAGAGCTACTTACAGTGCCTGGACGAGAATATCAAATATGTAGGAGTGCAATACCTCCACCACACCTCTACTAGCTGGATAGAAGCCAGATATAAATGACTGGGCAGTTTCGAAGTGTGAAGAAAGTGGCAAAAAGGAACAGACGCAAAACCATTTTCCCACCGAACTATGTTCACTCTCGTCCTTTTTTACTTGACTGTGCTTTCAGGCCAGTGCTTCAACGATACAAAGGGGTACGCGTGCTGAACGACACATTTTCTTATCGCCCAATCCAGCTATGATTTAGGATGACACACTAGATCCACTAGAATCGCCTAAACAAACAGTGAAGCTGCGGTCAATTATCTCCTCAGTTGAATGGGATTGCGATGACTGGCACAGCTGGCTCGTGGGTGTTTCCGTACGTCACCGATTACGTTCTGATGGCGGATGCAGGAGGATGGCCAAAGGGAGTGCAGGGAGAGTGGCTGTTTAACTGTTTGGATCTCTGCCACTGTACCTACGCCTGGTGGGCTGACCTCCAAGCCATGCCAGTAGCGTCAATCCCTCCTGCATATCAAATATCCATATTCTACCCGAACGTTACCTTTTGTTTTGTCCTTGAAAAAGTCTTGAGTTACTACAATTGTTCTGTATGCACTTAGCCAGTATCAGGCAACTACATAACACAAATGAAAAAATGGAATAGATTTGCGGCTGCAACTTGGTACTAGGTGTCCTGTAACCACTCCCATTAAATTCATTTCCAGCCCCTAATACTTTGAAAATGCAGCACATCCCTCAGTCCTCTAAAAGCTATTGATTGTGAGCGAGTGTCAGGCTAGTCTCTCAAAGCAATGATCAGTAAATCGGATTAATTTGGTTTCGTCTGTAACGTCACACGCAGGTATAATTGATCATTTTACTGTCAACATATGATCAAATACTCTTAACTGTAACAAAGACTGTGTAATTTATTTAAGTTTTGGATTTGCTTTATTTGCCTGGCCTAGTTATAAGGATTAAATATCATGACCCAAATGCTTAAAATAATTGATCTCTTAGAAATCGTTTTTTATTGCTATCAAAGCTCTCTTTCTGCCAGATTACTCATGTGCAAAATTTTGTTTTACTTTACCCAACTTTGCCCAAAGCAAGAAGACACCTTCGGCATACGCTCCTCTCTACGCATGGCTCCTAGCTATTTTATGAAACCGGAGACGGCCCATGCCAAGGCATTAGGTAACACATATTTTGGTCTTGGTGTTTGCGACTAAAAACCGCCAATATATTGAGTAAGGGTACCCACTCTTGATGGTTGAGTTTTTTCTTGATATGCTTGGAATAGCGGTTATTCCCTCCGTGATCAATTTTTAGAATTAAAAAACCGGCTTTAATTAACGCCAGGTTACGTCGTAGTCCGTAGGCTACTTCCAGGGGCATGCTGCTACATTTTGCACTCTTGATGCTTCGCAGATTAATAGCCAGAGTTGTTTTGCTTATATACTAGGATAGATTATAAAGTACTTCCTTATGTCAGAGTCACTAGTCTTTAAACTACGAAAGCTTAGTCCGTTTTTCCGAACTTCTAGTACCGCCTTTTGTTGTGGCTACATCGAAGTTTCTAGCGTTCTTCAAGATTTGGTCGGCTGCTAGAGCTTTAGTTCTTCTAATTTCGTATGTACAAATGGTTGAATTATCTTTTAGATTTGATAAATGTCGGTAAAAAGGGGAGCGCTCTCGATGTCCTTTTTGAGATGCTGCTATATCGCCGGGCACGGAGCTGGCAAAAGTCCCTCGAGGCTCCGATGTTCCTTTTTGTCGATCTTTGCGTAGAACTGAAACGAAATCAACAATTCAAGAGGATTGCTCACCATTATCGAAACATTTCCATACAAGAGTGCCCCCAATCGCTGGATGACGTTCTTAAGCACTACTTTTCTCTCATTAAAGAAAAAACGGAGGAGGCTCGAAAGCAGTCTGAAGATGCTGTACCAGATGTTGAAGACTTGGATATACTCGAGACGCCAGAAAGGTTTGTTTTTACATCCTTTAGGGCTGACTACACTGTAGCCTAATGTTGAATGCGGTAAATACGGAGAACGCTCAAGGGCGGTCGGGTCATACGATTCTGATGCCATGGTTGAAATTCTTGTGGGAGGCTTATCGTATTTGCCTTGATTTAGTTCGTAATAACATCAAGTATGAGCATGTGTATCATCGCATTGCAAGAGATGGTATGGTGTCGTTTTGTTTTGTTAACGTCTATAGCCTTCGATTTTTGTGTCGAATATCGTCGCCAAGCTGAATTCAGGAAGCTTGGAGAAATGGTGCGTCTACACACTACCAGAATCCAAAATCAGCCGGCTGCTCCGAACGGGATAAACCTGACTAATTCGGAAACACAAATCTGGCACTTTGAGACGCGTCTTCGCCAGCTTGATTGTGCAATGGAGCTGGAGATGTATAATGTGAGTTCAATTCTTCGCATAGTCTTATTAGTTAGTCAATATGCGCGCATTTCGGGTTGATTTACTATTCCTTGCCTTCCTTTTTTGTCAGGAAGCCTTCAGGGTTGTTGAGGACATTTGGGGACTGGTGCTGCTATCTAAAAAAATCGACCGTCCTGCCCTCATGGCAGATTACTACTCGAAGACGGCAGAGCTTTTTCTGCGGTCTGGCTACTACCTCTTTCATGCTGCAGCTCTTTACAAGCGCCTCGCACTCTATCGGGAGCATAAAAAAGCTCCTTCTGTTGAGGAGCTTTCCGCTCTCGGCTCCAAGGCTCTATGCGCGGCTCTCTCTGTGCCATTGCCCCACGCCCGTGCTCAATTCTCAATTTTCTCTGGCGAGTACAATCAAGCTAAGCAAAAAGCTCTCGCCAGTCTTTTGGGTATGTCGTGTCCTACCCAGAGTGTTTCTCAAATTGCAGCGTTTATGCCTCTCCTACACCTAACGTTCTTATTCATCGTTCGACAGGCCTCTCCACGGTTCCAACGAGAGCTTCTCTGCTTGCTGACTTGTCTACGGGTCGGGTGCAGACTATTGTCCCCCCAGAACTGGTCACGCTGTACCACGCTCTCGAGGTTGACTTCCAGCCACTGAAGCTGGTGCAACGTGTTCAGCCAGCATTGGAGCGTATTGCGGAGGATTCGACGCTGAACGCCTACCTAGAGCCCCTGCATGAGGTGGTTGTCTCCAAAACATTGCTTCAACTTTCACAAGTCTATCGCTCATTGCGTTTTGACGAGCTTGTCCGCCTTTGTCCTTTTTACGATCCCCTCACCTTGGAACGGTGTGTGATTGAACTCATCTACAATCTGGAGCTGCCGATGCGTGTTGATCACCGTCGTCATGCTATAATATTTGATGTTTACATTGATCTAGGCATCAGTCAGCGGGACTATTCACAAACCATGCAGTCGACTCAGGTGAGTGACGAAAATAGAGGCACCGTCGTTCATATCATTTGAGTATTTCGTTTATTCATCGTTTTCTACTCCTTTAGACCGGTGGTGATCAAGTGTCACGCCAACTAACTCTGTTCGCACAGTCTCTGCATCAAGTCGCAGAGCTTCTTAACGTGAACGAATCTGATAGCCAAGCGCGCGACATCTTCGTCAAGGAGTACATGAAGACCGCTGAACAACATCACCATGAACTCTTATCACGTCGTGAGCACATCGAGGATCGCAAAGAACAGCTTGAACAGATTCAAGAAGAGCGCGCTAGGGTACGTCAACTTTGTGTTGTTTTATTCCCTTGGCTCAAACTAAATCCTAGGTGTTTGAAAATCAAATTCCTAATTATTGGTGTACTCAATCGAATCAGTAGATTGTCGAATGTTTACTCCGCTTTTGCTAATGTTCATTAACACGTTTAGATGATAGAAGAGGAGGAGGAACGTCTGGACAAGGAGAAGCGGGCGATACGTGAGCAGGAGGAAGCGACTTTGAAGGTAGAAGCCGAGGAACGCACAAAGCGTCACCTTGAGGAACAGATGCAGCGGCGCAAGCTGAAAATTGATCGTGAGCGATTGCGAACCTATATCAACTCCGCGGCCGCGCATAACCTCTCTACTGCCGTCATGCCTGAAATCACCGAGGCGGATTTGGAACAATGCAGCTTAGAGCTACTGGTAGAGAAACTCCACGGTGATATGTACAGGCGTCGCACGGAGCTCCTCGATCGTGCTAATGCACGAGCTCGCAAGTTGGATCACTTTGTTCGTGCTTGCAGATTGCAGGAGATTCCCCTTTTGAAGGAAGCTGCTGCTGCAGAAGCTAAGGAGCGCTTTGAGATCTTTCAGAAGGCACAACAGGAGGCCGAGGAGGCCTCGAAACGCGAGCACGAAGAAACGCTCAAGAATAATGACCGCCTCAGTAGAATGCGAGGCGACATCGCTGTGAGTTTGCTAGCTAGGCTGAAGGAGGAGAAGACGGTATGCTAACTACCATTACGAATGTTTGTGTACAGAACTTGGAGAAGTCGCTCAGGTCATTGGAGCAGTCAAAGTACAAAGCAAAGCACGCGGAGTGGGAGGCACTTCGGACGCGAGTGCGAGAGGAGAGACTGGCGGAACGAAGGGCCGCCGAAGAGGCCGCCCGGAAGCTGGAACAGGAGCGGCTCGAGGCTGAGGCAAGGGCACAGGCCGAAGCGAAGCGGCTTGAGGCTGAACGTGAGGCTGCTGAGCGTCGTCGTCAAGAGGAGATCGCAGCGGCTTTAGCCGAGAAACGACGTCAGTATCTTATTCTCTGCACTTTTGAAATCGAGTTGATGCCTTCTCTAAATGGCCTGGAATCGCTGGTGCTTTGTAGGGGAGGAGGAGAGGCTGGAACGGGAAAAACAGAATCAGCAGCAGCAACAACAGCAACAACCAGCAGTACAGGAATCAACTTGGCGAAGAAAAACTGTTGTCCTGAAGGGTATATTCCTATTTTCTTTTATCTTTGTTAAAAGAAAAACTGAATACTGATTGGCTGCCAAATTTGTTTTTAGACGCCGAGCCGTCCGCACGCGCACCTGCACCCACTGCTGGTGCATGGCGTTCTGCGCGAAAACCGCAACCGGTGCCAACCGCGGCGTCCTTCGAGCAGTCCCGTCCACGTTTTTCCCAGGCTCCACCATCCAAGTATGTCATCAACCCCCTTCATTTTGCAACTTGCCTTCAACATGGCTGCTTCTAACTTTAACACTTTCTAGTAATTATGGGCGCTATCAGGATCCCAGAGGCTTCCGCCCGTAAGTGGCAGATGTTTGTAACATTTGGGAATGATTGTTGAGAGAATTACCTAACAAAACTACCTTTTTTTTTCAGGCGCACTGAAATGGACAACAATCAAGCACCCAAGGATCTATGGACTCGTAGAACCGTGGTCCTTCCCACTGAGTAAGCTTCTTCGTACCGTACCGTTTGATTGCTGACGTTGAAAACCATCCCAACCTAACTGTGTGGCTTCCTTAAGACGTCGCCCAGCACAGAAGGCTGCTGAACCATCGAAGCAACAAGGGTCTGATGGTGTGTTTCATTTATGAAGTTACGTGTGTGCGTGCTGCTTTTTGTAGCTAATTACGCGTCCTCTATACTTCAGATGACGGGTGGCAAGATGTTAAACGTCATTGAAAACTTCGGAATGGTGACAGTACTTTCTCGAACTGTCTTCGTCTGCTTAATTTGACTGGTCTTCATAATTCATAAATATTGATGCTTGTCCCAGGAGTTCTGATGTTCACGTCCTTTTATCTGGCAGTTATGGGACGTAGCCAAGGTCGAACCGTAGTCCCCCCACTCAGAGACCTCCAACATTGGTAGCTACTTCTAGGACTTCGTGCCACATGACGCTTTGGCCATGCTAATCGGTCGTGGTAGGTCGTGTCGTGAGTTGTTTGTTGGAGCCCAGCAGTGGGCCGCTTAGTCCGGCTAAGTTAGACTAACAACTTCACCGCGGCTGTAGTGATCGGCGTCCCTGGGGCCACTTGGTTTTCGATACGCCTCGACCATAGGTCTAAGCCATCGCCAACGCAGTCTCCACCGTGAGAGCCCGGAGGACAGGGTTGTTCTTTGTAGTAATGGATGAAATTTTATTTGAAATAGTTGTACAAAGGTTGGTTAAGACAATTGCGGTCAATAAAGGCTTGATGGGAGTTGTGGGAAAGGAGGCGATGGAGGGCTTGTTCGCGGTCCACACGTGTGCTACCACTAAAAATGGGAAGATTGCATGAACTCAAAATTCCCTGATGTTGGAGAGTAGTCGAGAGCGTACCCTGCCCGTGCTAGTGTTTGAATTGTCTGTTCGCGGTTTTTTGGCCTCCGCTGTGTCAGGACATGGCCGTGATGATGATGATAATACCAGGGGGGAAGGTGAAATTCCCCTAGCCGCAGCTTGACGCTTATTTGTCGCGTAGACGAAACCACCTTTTGTGGTTTTGTTTGCTGACGAGGTAGAACCGGCGACTACACTTCCTGAAGGCTCCAGACTGGGAAAAAATGCCAAGAATTAAAATTTAAGAAAAAAGTTGAGAATCCACCTTCTATCGATAATAGAGGCTAGAGAGTTTTCCTTTTGCCCGGCCAACGGCTGCCCCTCGAAGCAAACCAAGGGAAAGAGATCAGCATCATTGCTTTCGCATTCTTGGGCAATTATGGACTCCAAATGGGCAGTCTGATTTGGCAAATCGCGCGTCCGTAGTTTGCGATCCTCTTTGTCCAACTTCAACAGAATTCCACCCCGGTTCTTGAGTACCGTTGGATCTTGACGCTTCAACTGCAAGAATAAAGGGAATTTGTTGCATTTAATTTTAAAGCCTTAACATTTCCAACCAAAAAAATACTAACTTCAATAGCTTTTATCTGTCGCAAGGTGTCCAACCAAACCGTTAGAGCGTCGTAGAAGTCCTGATGCGAGGACTTGAAGCGCTTCCACTTGTGCACCTCTCCCTCTAGCCGAGACAGGTTCTCCTCCGTGCAGTCCATGGACATGGAGTTGCGAAAAATCTGGCAGTATTCTGTACTAACCAAGCAGTCCGTCCAGACCCCTTCTAGTTCAAGAACAGAGGCTTCCATCAAGCGACGCAAGTTAGCCAATCTCAGTTCACGAAGGCGAGATAATTCTTCAGATCCCTTAAATTATAAAAAATCAGTCGCCTTTCTGTGACTGTAAAGAAACGACCCTCGAATAAACCACATCACACACAAAACTACCAAAACAATTTGCCTATTGAGAATATGATTTTGGGATAGCAAACACACAAACGCGAAAGTGAAATGCCCTTACGTATTTTATGCGTTTCGACGGGCATAGGGAATGTTCTTTGGGAAGGGTGAATGGTGACAAATTTAAGCGTTTACGAAGGGACTCGATATTCTCAAAGAGATCCTCTTCTTCCGACTTAAATTTGTGAAATAAATCCATATACTGATCCTGAATTCCATCCAGTTCTTGCAAATAAGCCTCTGAAAGATCAGAAGGTTCAACTTCCGCACTTATTACTCCCTTAACAGACTCAGGTAGCATCAGGTTGCAATCTGATTTCAAGTAATCGATGCAAGAAATAATGCGGTGCTTCATTTTTGCTAATTTTTCGATACGCTCTTTCTAAATGACAAGCTACGGAAAACTTCTAATGCAAACCTTCACACTCTGGAGCTCATCAATATGGTGTTGAACCCGTAATTTGTCGTTATACGATGGGATTAAAGGAAATCCCTCCAACACGGCAACATGCAGCAACTGACAGAGAGCTTCCTCGCGAGACTTAAGTTTTTTGAACTCTGAAGTTAATTCAGCTATTTTCATATCAAGTTCTGAATGATAGCAGGTTAATTCGTCCAGAATTGCCAGCAACGTCTGAGAAGAGGAAATATGCTTATGGGGAATTTGGAGTTCCTTTTCAAAAGTCACAATTTCACCCTGAAGATCGCGCACTTAAAATTAAAAATTACTCGCAACTGATCCACTTTACACCCTAGCTCGGCTTTCTCCTTTTCAGTAGAAGAGAGGAAACCGTGCATATAATTGGTCAAATTATTCTTCAGCGAATCCTGCAATTCGCTATGCTTTTTGGAAGAATAACCAATTTCAGACCATATATTTTCGACATTTAGGAGGTATTTTTTCAGATGAAAAACAACCTCCTCCACCCAGTCGTCGCGAATCTCCATCGTATAAGACAAGAAAATAAACACGAACAGACAGTTCTCGCGCTTGCAAAGGTTATGTTCGTTATTGATGCAGTATAAGTCCATATTTTTAAAACATTTCTGATGTTACAATTTTGTACATTTATTTATTCTTGATAATTTCATGATTTGCAGAATCAGTTATTTAACTTTCGCATGAGTGATTCTAACTACAACTGCTTTTTCTTAAGCTGTTGTCGCAAATAAAACTCCTGCTACACTAATTCTTTTGACGAAATTATTAACGTGATCATCCTACTGCTATCTCACACCATCTTTGAGTATAAGAATCTGATATCGGCCTTTTGGGCCGTACCAATAACCCAGACACCTTCCCTGCGCCGAACATATATTCTGCCCAAGTATTTTGTCCTCTTTCGTCTTCAGGGAGTCTCGGGACGCTACACTAGCACGCTTGGACGCACGTCAGAACATGCTTAGTTGGCAACCATACGCCCATGGCTCTAAACAGAACCCAGGGGCCTCAACTACTTCCATTTCCAAGTACATCAGAGAATACTCGCTGAGGTGGATCCGAGAGCACTCTTAACCCTCAAAGGCTATTGGGGTCACGAATTGTTCACTGGAAACTGTTCCAGCCCCCAAATACCCCACCCAAATAGTGACCGAGAGCATACAGGACCAATGCGGATGTTAGACCAAGTCTTTAACTTAAAAATATGCACATATCTTGCAAATAGTTGTACAAATACGCTCAAGTTACCCAATAGAAAAAAATTAGCACAACTCCTGATCCATACCATTCATTTTCCTTCGTTTCGCTCTTGCTACCTTCTTCCGCCTATTCTTCAACCAGCGCTTCAACTGTCTACGTCGGTTCTCATCATCTGAAAGACTAAGCACATTGGTAGGACTGCAAGACCCATCTGGTTCCTGCGCCAAAGTTGGCACTCTCGACTGTTCGACATCTACCTTTTCTGTTTCCTCCGCCTCCTTTTCCTCATCTCCCAGCCATGACGAAGGTATCATGCAGACGTGTCGCATCATAACACGTTGGTGAGTATCACTGAAAGGCACGAAACTGGAGTCCACGGCTTCAAGGAAGAGCACGGCTGGTGGTGGACATCGTGCAACAACCGCTAGAGGGTATAGGCTCGAATCGGGATGGATGCAGAGCAGAGGAGACGAGGGGTTCGTATCGCCAAGGCGTTTGTAATAGGGGAAGCTCTCCCGCGTATTGTCGGCTGCGTTGTCGGCGCGCCTAGTGGCAAGAGTGGCGACCTGAAATGAGGCAACAAAAACTTTTTCACAAACGCGTTCAAGTTTTCCCACGGCACCCCATCACCATAAGACAAGTGTGGACCGTCGATCTCGATAGCCAGTGTACAAGTCTTGGATCAGCACAGACACCACAGGAAGGCAGCCGTTAAAGTACTGCAGGTGTGGATGTCGTGTTAGAGCAACAAAACGTTCGGGCTATGATTATTAAGCTACTTCCAAGACCCTGGTAGCGAACCTGTTGGAAGAAATGCTTCCTCTTATCGACAGTTCACCTAAGAGGGCACGCAGTAAATGAAGCCCGCAAGAACTGACGAGATGGATTCTTGCACTTTAAAATCAAGGCGCCTGATGTCTTATTAAAGGTTTTATCGTACATTCGTCATTACTATCTGATGAAAAAATATAGGCTTAGAAAGACGGTTCATCGACCTGATCACGAAATGCCACTTCGAAGAAGGCCTTTGTAAGAGGGGAAAAGTCATCAGCACCGCAGGAATGGAGACGCCCCAGGCCCGAAGACCTCACCAGATCGCGAAGCTGAGCTCGAACCTTCACCGCGGTACGCATGCGTGCATGGTTGAGAAAGTTCTCACGACACCATCGATTCCGTCCGGCAAGCCTCGTGGAGACTGATGTTGCTGCTGACGCTACACCATCGGTGTTGCTTGAAGTCTCTGCGGCCTTTATATAGGCTCTGTAGACGAGAACCAGACTAGCAAGGTCACCCTCGGGGTGACGAAATCGCATGGCGATCTGAAAGTGAAGAGAGAAACATCAGAATTCAATCTTCTCAACTTCACAGATTTAAGAACAGTTCAAAGACTGCATATGCATTCTGCATACAGGGAAGGTGTGGTATGCAGTGGTAGAACAGAATATCGTCCAAAAAAAACAAAACGCTTGCTGGAAAACGTGCTTCAGCCTTCAGCACTACTTCTCAATTAAATTCCTCCTCAATGAAGCTTATTTAGTAAAAAATGTGGCGATTTGAGCTCTCTCTCTCCCACTGCCGTCTTAACTGACGAAATGCAAATTCATCGTACCACTCAGTGACGAGGTTCCCAAAATGGATGCTAGGCAGCAATGAGGCAAGAACACTCAAGATAGGATGAAAGTGGACCCAGTTCGGTCTCCCGGCTGTTCAGAACTATTCTCATGTAGAACACAACGCCTCTAGAGATAATTTGAGTGGATAGCAGCAAAATGGAGCCGAAGGTCACTCACCTCGTTGAATTCCTCCCTGCTCTCCTGCGGCACGTAGAAGACAGGAGCGACGTAGAGCATACTAACTACAATTATTGCCTCAATTAGACAATTGAGATGCGCTGCAGAGCACAACGCTCTAGCAAACCGCGGGGCGAGGGGGAAAACCGTCATCAGACGACCAAGTTTCGTTAACTACATGGAGGTAAAAGAATAGGGCATTTTAGATCAGAGGAGACAGAAAAATGCCGGAGGAGTGAATGGGAAAGGAGATCTACTTTAATGGGACTAGGGATGGCGTTTGTGAAGGCGACACCGTTGCAAGCGAAGGGTGATTTATTGGATTGGGGAACAATGGTGATCGCTCCGAGGCGTTGAAGCAGCTGCAGACCGGAATCTATGGCCTGTTGTTTTGGTGGTTCCAACCAAGGGAATGATTGCACATTCTGGAATAAAGGAAGTACCTAAATATGAAGGGTCTGTTTGCTATCAGACAGCGAAGAAGTCATTGGAGCTACCACCAAACACTTTGATTTGAATTATTTTGAAATTTACCAAAACACCATTTTACTCCATTCAAGATACCCCAAAAGCTGTTTCAAACTGAAGTTAGTTCGAAACAACAGTTAAAAAGGGAGAGGGGTAGGCCACTCACTTTGACTCCCATCGCAAGGAGGTTGAGAAGAACACCGGATAGTGGAGCGGAAGCGAGTTGAGAGGAGGGGTGGAGGGCCATTTGATGGTCGTATTCGGCGTCAGTGTAGAGACGTAGACACACGCCTGGGGCGTTTCGACCCGCCCGACCAGCACGCTGCCAGGCCTGCGATTTGCTCACCCATGTGACGCGCAGACGTTGCAGTCCAGTTGTGCTGTCCCATTCCCTTGTGATGGCAAGAAAGAGACGCGCAATTTCATGAAAATGAATGGTAGACAGGAACGATGGGACACGAGAATGGTCATTAATCTATCAAGCTCGCCTTTAAACATTCGGTAGTCCAATCGACAAACACCTTGATGTGTGGCTAAACTGCACCAAGGACTAATCTTCCCGAGGTGTTGACAGAAGAAGTCATTCAAAAACGATTGCGATTTCGAAAGACTACCTTATGGTGAGTGCCCTCAACGTATTAGTTAAACGCGGCAACAAGCGCCAGCTATGCAATAATGGTATCTCGTGGTACCCGCTACTACCTACAGTAGTCTGCACCACTTTTAATCAATTGGTGGAATGGGTATTTGCAGCAGTAAAATGACGCGTTACGACGTAACAATACCACATTGGTTAAATCTGGAGACAGGTACAGTTCCCAGGTTCGTGCTGTTTGTCGATCCAACCAGCCTCACCCTCAAAGACCCGACCCGAAGTCTCAAAAATAATCACACTAATCCCAAGGACAAAAAAAACGCTCTCTCCTTGTTGGTACTTTGGGAAATACTGCCCGCCACAAATATAACCAATGCCGCCAGTGCAGCGCCATTGGACACGAAAAACGGTGTGGTATTGGTACACCACTACGGTCAGGAAATGAAACTAGAACAAGACTAAGAAAACTTATAAATTGCCCACCATGATGAACGTATTACACGACAATACACCTTTGTGCCGGAAGTTCATCACCCTTTGTCTCAACAGCTATCCAACGCGGCTACAGCTGGACACAGCCTTGGATATCACCGTTATAATAGGGAACCTGTGACGTCAAAGTGGCAAACCCTTAATCCATCGGATCACTTGAACCTCTATTAGTGAAAATGTTGGTCGAGTGAAGCTCACCGAATAACTTCGGTGCTTCGTATCCTTTAGTGGCAGCACAAAGGTCAGCCTTATCCCATTTGCCCTAGACTGATGGTTCTACGAGCTGGATCTGTGGGAACGACCAACCAAAGCTATCTGCAATCAGACCTACTCAGTTGAAGTAACCGTAAACAGTCACCGACAATCATCAAAAAGGTTGCTCCGATCTTCCACTTTATTAATCCTCTTCGAAGTTTCCCGATGGCCGCTACCGAAGCTTAAGAGACGAGAGAGTTCGACAATGGGTTGGGAATAAGTGGCCACTTCGCTTACCCAGCGACAACACCAAACCACTTAGTATACGACACCGAAGGCTGTCTGATATTTTGCAATCGTGTTGTTCTATCCAAAAATCCTCAGAAATTCCCACCGGTGCCTTGGTCCAGGACACACAAGCTCAGGCCATCACCCCAATAAACGGTGTTTCTTGCCCCGATTTGGTGGAGGCCTTTTCAAAGTGGTCCCTCGTATGGCCACCAGAGTACAACAAGTACTAGGCCAAATCTGCAGCTAACACTGGGGATATTAATCACAGGCAATGGAACACACCTTGTCTGTCAACACGCAACTATACATATTCGTCCACTGTGGAGAGGAGAGATTCGTTGACACAATCAAGAGACTACCGATATCTTACAAAGGTTTCTACAGTCTCACCAATGTTAAAAACAGGCAACCAAATGTGCACCCATGATTATCGCCCTGGGCATTAGCAATGGATCGCTGGGAAGATTCTACACAGACGCAGAAAAGTCACCTTCAACGTCAAGAACGGGAAAAACAAGTGGATTGGACCTTGGAAACACAGGTGTCTGCAATACACTGAAGGTCGAAATGGTACTCTACCGATAACTACACTGCTGAACACCTTCCGGATATCGCCTTCACCTACTACAGACTCAGCCTCTCATGACACCATGGGGAAAAAGATTTAAGGTGACCCATTTTGTGTATCAAAGCGGAGGGCTGGTGGAAGAAACGAGTGCAAGTGGGGCCTAGAAGTCGTCATTATTTACCTTTCAACGAACGAAAGTGCTGGGGTGCCTCCTAGTGATTTTCTGGAAGCTTCCATTTAGTGCATAATTCTAAACCATTCTGGGGGGTAAAAGTCCTGAGACGAGGAGATCACTCAATCATGGTTAAAAAAGTTCTTCATTCTCGATTAAAGAACTATCTTAGCTGATGATTCCAACAGTTCATAATTCACGCATCAAGAACTTCAGACGCGTTAGGCATGTGTGACAGGAGTTCATGTACATTAACAGGTAAACTCGAATAAGCCACCAAAGAGATTACCTTACAACCATCCTTAGTTTAGATTGCTTGCTGACTAATGGAAGAAATAAAGTCAACCTACGACCAAAGTCGTGTTTCTAAGGCGCCAATTTACCCTCATAATGCTACGGTCGTTTTGATAGCGTGCGGTGGACCGTAAACACGATTGCTCATCCGCTAACACCCCAATCGACTTGGTACAAATGGATATAACTTGGTGCATAAGAAAAACACCTTTTGTCTAAGAAAGAGTCAGAACTGGTGAATTAGAGCGGAGAAGGTGCTACTCTTACAAGACACTGCAAGACCTCATACTTCATGGTGTCACAAAACACTCATGAGGAGATTAGTACGTCAGGATAGAAGAAGAGGGATATTGTCTCACCGAATTCACTTTCTCCCTAGTGATACTCCTCCAAGCTCCGAGTGATTATAATTACCTTCCCTTGGCACTGAAACTACGCTATCCATGAACACATGCGAGGGAGGACATCCTTCCACAAAAGGATGAGGGAAGAAGGTATGAAAACCACACAAACTCATTTAGCTACCTTATGTCGCGCAATTGTGTTGGAGCCTACATGAGAGAGGTATTTGGCGATGTAATCTCCTCCAAGAATTTCATCGGCTGCAGCTCAGGGGATAATACTACGCTTGACATAGGGATGAAAACGCAAGTAAAACAGCATATCAAAGACACGTAACAACACCAAATAGGCACTTTTGACTTGTCTCGACTTCGGTAGTACTAACCCTACGGGTGACAGATGTGTCCTATTACGACATGGACTAATTCAGGCCGCAGGGTTAATCGAGATGGCAGCAGACGACGGTGCCAGTAAGGACAATGATGAAAAAGCATGTTCTACAAAATTGTAAAAGCCATGGGAAACCTAGTAGACAGTTTGTGCGATGGCGAAATCCTCAACCGCTCAACAATAAGCTGTTTAAACGGTGCCAACAATTTAAAGGCAGCCCGTCATTTTACTGTCAGCGACGAGTCCTAACGTGGTGGTTTTGTTTCCATTCAGTAAACGCGTGGAACATCTGAACGCGGCACAACCCAGCGGCGACGTTAAACAGGAGGCGAATCTGCCCGTACCGACGGCGAACACAATCAATGGGGAATGTTAGCTTACGCTGAGTACCAGAACACTTTTCCGCCTTTGACCAATGCAGTGAAACTGGATGCTCTGGGCTGGTTCAACCACACTAACAAGTGTGACAGCAGACTGCTGTTGAAATTCCAAATAAATTTAGCAGTACTTTAAGGTCCCTACAAGCAGGAAGAGCTCTCGAGTACAAATAATTATTTGATGAAGCTCGATAGAAGGCAATTTCAGATGTTTAGGAAGCTACCCAACTTTTAAACAAGAACACGTAGGTAAAACAACACTTACAAATTTTTAGCCCTTCCGCAGTCAATCACATAGCGAATGCCTGGAATGGTAATCGAGGTTTCCGCAATATTTGTGCTTACAATCACCTTTCGAGTACCCTGAAAGTAAAGGTGGAAAGTGCAGTTAGGAAACCGAATAGCTTTCATACCTACCGGTTCGCTGAAGGTCAGGGCTTTCAATTGTTGCGCCTGGGGCAGAGCTGCAAAGAGGGGAAAGACGGAGAGTCGGGGAGGCAGTGATGTGGCTCCACTCGTGGTGGCGTTGCTTGACGACTTCTTAGATTCCAGCAGAGCTTTGTAGAGGCGGCGGATGAGACTTACACATCGAGTGATCTCCTCCTCTCCCGTCAAAAAGATGAGGAGACCACGATCTGGAGGGCACGTCGGTTCACCATGCAGCTGTGAAAAGAAGTGCTTAGAAACGGAACATCCAGCCTACCTACCCGAATGCAAGTGGATGCGGCATCGGAGACATAGTCAATGGAGGGCTGCTCAACAGTAAAGGTGTTGATAGGAAACTGACGTCCCTGTATGTAAACTACTCGGGTTCTTGAGGGACCGAGGAAATCCACGAAATTCTTTGGGTCAATTGTAGCGGACATTACGATGATCTAGCCGAGAAGAAATACAATAGGCTAGAATCTGATTTGCCCTAGAATTGAGGCAAATGAGGTTCTAAAGTCAAATCAGGACTTCTAAATTTAAATACTTCCTTTATAGCACCTTCGGTGTAGGAAATTTGGACATCACGGCTGAAATCGAGCGCCGAAACGTACGATTCGGAAACTACTGTCCCTCTTAACACATTCGCTACCAAAATCCTGGAAGAAAATCAACTCTCACACCTAATACGTGTCACTGCTCTCCCATGACATCACTCATGGGCTCACACACCAAATCGGCATGATCAACAGATGGCAAAACCCGAAAAAGTATGATTACTCTTCAATCAGAAATGCTTGACTTCCAGTTGCCGTTCCCGACTCAACAAAACAGTTTACGACTCCATTTTTTGCAAATAATTATCATAAACTGGTACAATTAGGTGCCACAAACTTGTGACCCCAAAGCTAGATTAAAAAATGAAATGCCATATGTATATGAAACTGGTAGAAAAGGCATTTAATATAAAACCGACAGGTCCTATGGTAAGGCTACAAGAGGTCCAGAGCCTACCTTGAGAGGCTTAGGTGAGGTTGCCCGCTTCCGGCTGGCAATGAGTAGCACTCCCAGAAGCACCTCCGTGTTAAGAGTGCGCTCATGCGCTTCATCGACAATTACTATGGAGTAGCGAGAGAGGGTAGGATCAAGACAGGCCTCGCGCAACAGCATACCGTCGGTCATGTAGCGCAGACGCGTCAAACCCGCCACGCTAGCGTCCTCAAAGCGCACACAGTAGCCGACTGGACCGACGCCCACAGCGCCACGACCCAGCTCCTCCGCAACACGATGCGCCACCGATATCGCCGCTATTCGGCGGGGCTGTACGGAGAGGAGGGGGAACAAAATTAACCCTCAGTCCCCAGCAAACAAAGAGGGAGAGGTGCATTTAGCGGTGAGTTAGCACAACCTCTAAACGAGATTGCAATCAGAATAAAGTTAGTTTAGTGAAATGAAGTCTCCCCAAACTATTGAAACTCAAAGACAATGTTAATAATGGAGGGGTATAAAATTGCTTGCTTTATACAAAATTTTATCGATTAAACGAGTTAGTACTACTTATAAAGTGGAAGTGAGTGAAGATAATTAGAATTGAAGAAACTCAGAAGCGAAAGGAGGAGTGGAAGGGACCATAAGGGATCGAGGAATAGTACATGAGCTTAAGCATATGAAGATGTGATTAGAGAGGCGGTAGTCGCTAAAGCTTACTGAAAATTCGACATGAATGATATTAAGCCAGGGATTTTCCAGAAAATTGAACGAGTTGAAACTAACTAGAATAAGCAAAATGCAAACCATGTTAGGAATAAAGCAAAATGGTTAATCGAAATGAAGAGATGAAAATTTCCTTACCAAAGCTGAAAATGACCCGCCTAAACTTGAATGAAATTCCAACACAGTGCAAAAACCCAGAGGAAAAAATTAACTTAAAGTAGGCGATCAAATAAGTTGGTGCTACTTATAAAAGATAAGAAACAGAGCATGCCTAAAATAAACAGTTATTTAAAGTCTCAAAAGTACCGGGTAGCGAATACCTACTAGCAGATGTGCAGGAACAAGGGATGAGTCGTCGATCACAAGCAGAAAAAAGGAGGTGGGACAATTTGTAGTAGGTTAACACGACTTGCTAGTTTGGATACTTACATACCTGAATTGGGCATATGTGAGGAGAAATGAAAAAGATTCTCATAGCTGGGAATGGTACACTCCAGCTACTGATGTTAGGAAGCGAATGGCACCAAGTCATTCATTTCGACAGATGCTTATTACTTATAAGGGATAAAAGTCAGACTGCATCAGAAGTGAATGAGATCAACAATGCAAGGTGAGGAAATGTGATGCCTTTCTCAGCAAAATTACACTTATAGGTTTAAAAAATAATCGGGTAAAGTAAATACCATAGCTAAGAGGCAAAACAGAGATTGTACAAAGAATGACACAGTTAAAAAATGAGGCGGATTAAATTTAGTGCAATCCTCATCAAATGGGTCTTTCCATGATTCTTCATGATTAACTGCAGTTTTTTCCTGTCCAATTGCATAGAGACGAAAATACTTGGACTCAGGAATCGCTTAAAAGCCAAGCACATAAGAAAACTGAAATTTGCTATCAATATAACCATTTCAAACGTGGGAAACAAATGATGTCATCCAATGCTGCACGCAGCAAATGCCACAAGCCGCGAGTGAGATAGCGACTACTGCGGTTAAATTGAGGACTGTGATTGGGACAAGGCATAACGTACCTGAGTAATGGCTATCATATCCGTATTGGCGAGACCAGCCTCGAACAGGAACTGAGGCAGTTGTGTGGTTTTACCCGAGCCAGTAGAACTGACTATAACGCAATTGGGGTACTTTTTCACTATTTCCACCAGCACCTCCCGATGTATCCAAACAGGAAGTTTCTTTCGTTCCTCTAGTAATCTTTCCGATCCTGAAGTAGCCATTTCGATGGTCTTAGAAGCTCTACAGACAGTTAATTAATCTAACGGCAAAGAAGAAAAATAAAATTGAGGTGATACTGCGACTAAAAGTGCACACCTTGTCAAATAGTGGAAAACAAATGCAAAAATTTGCAAGTTTATAGGATTTACACTCATCCTCGAAGACCGAACGAGAATTACAGAATGTTTTGCATGAAATCTAGCATCACGCTTCTAGGAACACACCTACGGCAACTAATGGGGCAAAAAATGACTTTCAGAAAGCGACTTATTTGTGTACAAGTGGTATCAAATTATAAAATCCACCAATACTACAAAATACTAAGCTGAAAACCCCGTGGAATGAGCACCCAGCATACATCATATCCTCGCCCAAAACTAAATCTCCCGGCTAAATGCAATTGGCTGACTCTAAGCCAATTATTTAAAGACGTTCACTATGTTGATTTTATGCAAAACTCGCTTAAAGATTAGGTATAACTGTCTTAGAATCCATAAATGGTAAATTTTTTGCTAACGTTTTATAAATTGCTTCCTCTTGGCGGAATTTGTTTAACTAGAGAGAGGCTATGACCTCCCCTATGCTAAAATGATTGAGCTGCATAAGCTACAGTTCAACAATCTCTAACTTTACAACAAATTCGAGGAATATTCGCTAAAGCATAAGGGGAAATTCGACGTTACAGAATCGCAAGAAGGTGGGCACTTGATTGTGCTGAGCCCTCAAGTACACCCCGGCCAGCATTCACTCACTCCAGTCCCAGTGCTCTCTCCACGACAGTTTTACCCATCAACAGCGAGACACCCAAGGGGGGCCATCCACAGCCAGAAGACAACACCCTCAGAGGAAATGAGAGTTGTTTATTTCAGTTTCCTTCACTTACACCACATCCTCGTGTGTACTAAGAAAGACAGATGAGGCATATACTTTCTTTTCCGGCTCTTCCTCTGCCAACTATGACGTCTGTATCGCGTCTCCCGCTGCAACAGAGGACCGCTCCGCAGTACGCCTTCGATTAACTGTGGCAGAACTGAACACCGCTCCAGCAAAGAGCGCCGAAAGACAGACAAGGGCAACGGTTGACACGAGGCTAAAGTATTCTGCATGAGCGAAGCGAAAGATCCACACAGAGGTGAGGAGGAAGGCGAAAAGGGGCATCATTGCATGGCTCCCGAAATCCAAATCTTCGGGTGCAGAGAAGTTCGGTCGTAACACCGAACCGGTAGCAGAGGCAATTCTGTCCGCCGGCGTAGAAGATGAAGATGGCGTAGGATGGGGAGGAGCATCGCTAATGAGGCAGTGGATAGTGGCGTTGTCGGAGACACCGTAGTCACAGAGACGGCGACGCGAGGGGCTATCACGGGAGGCGACTGCTGGAGGCTTCAACTCGCGACCCTGGAATATCAGGCGCACGCTCTTGTGCTGTCGTTCCAACTCGTCGGCGAAAAACTTTCTACAAAGTTTATGTCATACGCAAACTCATTTCCTGATCCTGTAATTCATTCGCTGAAGCGCGCTTGCATAGCTACCAGGTCCTCATTGATGTTTGCTCCCACAATTCTGCGAATTGCATAAAGATGTAAAACGGACAAGAAAACGTACACGTAAAACGAATGCTTCGGGGTAAAAAGACATTTCCAAAATATTCGACCCGAAAAATCCAGAACATTTAAAGCTTTTAAGTGATTTGTTTGGGATATCTGATGAAGCCCTTTAAGACTATAAAGGATGATGTGATGTGATGTGCCAAGAATGTTATCATGAATATGAAATTGTACCTGCTGATAAACGTAACAATTTTGTTCTTCACGTAACGTCACACTACTTTTAGATTGTTTAATGACTGAGTGGCTTGTGATGAGATATGACTTGTGCATTACAACGTGAGTACCGCCTTAACATTACAGGATCACATACAAAAGAAAATGGACAGACGGCAAATAAACTTTAGAGAGGGAGGTAGCTTCAGCCAGGTTTCTTCTTTTCATCCAAAGACAAAGCTTATCCAATGGAAAACTCAAGCTTGTTCAACAAGGAAAAGATTAAAGGATACAATTCCTACAGGTTCAGAAGTTAGTTATTGTTTACCATAAAAAAACGAGGCTAACTTATTTATCAATCATATTGCGTGGACAGCGAAGATACGGACCCACAGAGAGCCTAGGTGAATGGGTGCAGATTTAGCAAAGAAGATAAGTCCAAATGACAAAGCCCATAGTGATACAGACTCACTGATCACATGGAACAAAGCATGCTTGTTACGAACAGTTTTATGCCACGACCGGATGAATTTAAACACATGAGTCTTTTACACAGGCCTTTTTTTGCAATGGGATTTATTAAATGACTCCACTCACTTTAAATAGAAAGTAAAGAAAGCTCTTAATTGTAATGAATGACGTGGTGAAACAAATATAAGAATTCAAGCTTCAACACATTATCTATATAAGGTACTCGAAGAGGCCGTGAGATGAAGACAGTTGTGTCAAGGTTCAGTAACGAAGAAGAATATCTGGCAAATTTTCACTGATGTTATAGATATTGGCCGAGTATAACAAAAAGAGGCAGAAAAATTGGGTCTCAAGTACACCCATTAAGCATGGACTCAAAAACTGTAGTTCTAATCTACGCCTTAGCAGAACCATAAATCATCAAAAATGGGCTATCCCAAAAGCGATGTGAACAAAGGCTAATAGAGAATGCGCATTCCAATTTACATATATAGCAAAATAAATGTCATTCTACTCTGAAAATGCTGTATTTTGAGGACCTTCTCGAAGGTGGAGGAGAAAAACATTCTCCTCTACCGCGACAAAACATTTGAATAAAGAAAATGAGTGTAAATGCAGGACAATGCGGTCTTCAAAGGAAAAAAAACAATAATAGAGACCTCGATCAAAATACCTCAAAGAAATCCAGGTCAAGTGTCAAAGCCCATTTTTTAAAATATCACGATGGGCAGAAAAGGGAGTAATCCACGTATATAGCGAGTAAATTCAATTTCGACCAAAAAGGGTCGAAATGAATGTTGAGAATCACAAATAAATGAAAGAAAATCACCACTTAACTCTTCAGTCTTTTAAAAAAGGAATGCTATAGCCTGCGAAGCACGTACCGCTTAAAAAGAAGAACTGGCATTTCGGGAGGAGCATGTACGTAGCGCACTCGATCATTGAGGTACTGCAGGCGTAGAACAATATTGCCCTGTGCTCTTGCCGCCCGTAACTCTCTTTCGTTATCCTCCCTTGTCTTCCCCATAGAACTTGCTTCTGCCTCCGATACATCTAGAGAAGTACAAATCATGAGCAGCTACTCAATCCAGAATAAATTAAGTTATACATAAAAACACAATAGAAAAAAGTGATGCATGAACTAGTTGTGTAAATCCATGATTCCAAAAAGATATCATTATTTCACTAAAGGACTTACCGGTATCCAGATGATGGTTGATATCGCGCAGGGACTCCATATAATCCGTATCCAGGACTCCAGTGTGGTATGCAACGGCACCCTCATCAGAATCTGCATTTTCAGTACTTTCCACTACATCAGAATTCGAGTTCATGGACTGATTATGAGTGTTTGATGTTGGCGAAAGAATACGAAAACCGTGACTGTACAATCGAAATCCAACACATAATAAAATCCCTCCCAGAGAAAGTGCGCATATTAACACCTCATTACCGATGCCCTCGATAAACTCTGGCAAAATCATAAATGGACTTAAGAATAAAATTAAGAATAGAAGACGCTATGATTAGTGCGACGGTTATTCGCTACGCGCGCGTCGATCTCGCAGTTTTTGGCCCTTAGCCGTCGCCAACTACAAATAAAAAACGAAGAGCATTCATTAGCAAAAAAACAAGTTCAGCCTTTACATTATCCATTAAAAATGAGCATACATCCACGAACGACCAAAGTCGATGCTTTTGAACAAATGTCGCCTTCGACAATAGATTGAAACAAAAATTTTTCACTAAGAGTAAACAAAGTAAAGTGAATCATCGTAAATTACGCATTATACAAACTTAGATTAATTTAAATATGCACGTATTTATTTAGCGTGACTTTCCTAAATCAACTTATTTCAGTGAACGAAACAAAATTAGGCAATGAAACCAAACATTTTTTAACCTTTTTCTAATTTTTGAAAGTCAGCTAACACACACAGTAAGTGCTTTATAATAGCGTATTATTACTTCCATATTGGAAATGTGACGTTGCACTAATGCGTTGTACGTATGTGCACATCCCCAACTCAAACCCACCGCTGCCATCAGTGTTGGGGATTACCATTTTTCTCCCCCCCCCCCTCCTTGCAAACCATTGGGAGGAAAAGAATGATCGGGTAAAGGCTTTTTCTATTAGTGTTATTAAAAGCAGCTGATAGAGGCGAATTGCACGCATGTTAGGAATACCCACCCGCTTTAAATCATTCTGATTTCCCGTATGCCCCTTAATTTGTCTTCTGCAAATGGTCTTGCTTTGATACATAATCTGAATTAGGATTGCTCATTACTAATACTGAAATCTTAATTGCGCAATCCGGCCAAGTTTCATAATATTTGAACCTACGACTCACTTCACCAACGATTTTAATCATGTTGCAGCCATTTCGTTTAATATTTACCAAAAATTAGTTGTTTTTATGTCAGATTGTTAGTTATTTATTATTTGACGAAATGGTGACGTTAATTTATTGACTTATTCCAGAAATATTAATGATATTTTCCAACAACCTTACTTCTTTGTCACAATTTGCGATAATCTTAATTGACGCTCAGTACCTTGGATGCAACCTATTGATTAAGTAAAAATCCTTATGTTCGAGATGTAAAAATCAGTGCCTTGGCCTATTTTTGTTTAAAAAATAACCTTTTTGTTCCCATATTAGTCTGAATCCTCCTTCTGACGCGTTTAACCATTTCATTTTGATGCATCTAATAACTTTGAACCTTGGAGAAATCAAGCTTTATTTATTTTAAGGGAAATACATTAGTAATTGTCGCACAACTCTGCTTAACCTAGAATCGCATTTAATCAAATTTACCTGCGCAGAATTTCGACTCCTGTGAGTCAGTACTTAATTAATGAGCTCTCCTTACCCCCCCCCCTTTCTCCCTCGGTCTAATTCTATCAACGAAGTCTATTCCCCGCTATCCCCTCCACCACCACTTAACATCACCGCTGCCACTGCTGCTGCCATTACCTCTGTCTTTTCCACAGTGAGTTACTCTAACGAGAATCCAATTACCCCTTCCTGTCCCATTCCCTGTCCCCTCTGCATCTCCCCCCACTCCCTCCGCCCCCCTTCCACTCCACACTCTGGCTGGTCGAGTTATCGTGAGTGGTAATCACCTCTCTGAACTCCTTTTGCCCCCCCCATCACAGTGCTCGCTCGCTCTCGTAGATGCGTGCGCGCCTGCGTGCGTTCGTGTGTCCGGTGGACAGCGTGAGTTAATCTCAGGTGAGGCAGTTAATCCAAATGCAATTCGACAGCTGCTTTAATAAAAATCAATACACGCTGCCTACGGGTGTTTGAATGCACCACCAAAGGAAGCGTCTCCATGATTGAGAAAATTACTACAACAGTCAGTGCAAAATATTATTCAAAAAATATTTGTAGTTTTTGGAATAATTATAAAAGCAATCTTAAAAGTTTTGCAGATTAGTTATCCGAACATTTAACTAATCATATTTGCCTTTAAAAGACAAAATATGCTGATTAGATTTTGAATGAAGTGAATGTATATTCTCCGAAACGAATTAAACAAAACCGATTCGCATAAATATCTGATATTCATCCACCATAAATAGGCATTTTGATGTTCAGTAATTTATTTAGTACTTAGCAAGTTGGCATACCTGAAGCACTTACTTGTGCTATTTTGTGCAGTCTACATTTGTGATTGAGGCAAATGGGTGATTTCTGGTTTTTATCGGTACTTTTCAAAAATCCGCCTTCCAAGATGCTAATTAACGTTAACCGCGCATCCGCCGATACGCACCAATGAGCTGCAAGCATGGATCGCGCAATCGAGTGGTTTGTCCAATCATAAGCGTCCACTTCCCACTTACTTCGTGCGTGTGTGCGTGATCGCACTCGAAAATTTCCACAGTCAAAATGTCGGCGTATACTCCAGGAGACCTCGCCTCATCCAACTACCGTCAACATGAAGAAGCACCTCCTGGTCAGCCGAAGTATATGGCTACGATTTTTCAATCTATGAAGTCCTTCATCCACTCCCAGGTTGAAGCTCATCGCAACGGAATCGCACGGAATCTCCACGAGGTCATTCAAATCGCCCAAGACATTCTCCGAGAAGTGGAACTCCAAGAACCGCGCTTTATTAACACTTTGAAGACTCCTGTTGACAGTAGTAGAGGTAGTAATGGTGTAAGCAGTAGTCTAGCTCAAAAATACGGCCTTGATATGGATCTCTATGAGGGTCTTCGAGTTAACTCCTCTACTGAGTTTGAAGTCATTCTCTTTCTTAATCAGATGGGTGTCTTCAACTTCGTTGATGATGGAAGCGTCCCCGGAGGCGCTGTATTAAAACTCTCCGACGGACGGAAACGAAGCATGTCACTGTGGGTGGAGTTTATCACAGCATCTGGTTATCTCTCAGCTCGTAAAATTCGCGCTCGATTCCACAGCCTCGTGACACAAGCAATTGAGAAGTCTGCCTACCGTGGAATACTTCAGCTCATCAGTGGAACAAACAGTGAGGTGAAGATTCGCGTTCGTGATCGATATGCTCTCCAAATTACGCCGGCATTTCGTTGTCAGGGTCTGTGGCCACGGTCAGCCAACCATTGGCCCTCCACAACGTCTACTGGATGGCTAGTTTGGCCTTGTCCACGTCTAGTTACCGAAGTTAAACACGAAGGCTTCACTCTTCTAAGTCAGGAATCTGCATTCACCAGATCTGACAAGCAACACCAGGCATCAGCTGAAGGAGACGCTTGGCAGCTTGATTTCTACGAAGCGGAGGAGCGCCTTCTAAGTCAGGGTTCACGTCAGCTCTGTTTAAGCATTCTCACCACGTTGTTAGAGCGTCATCTAGTCCTCAACGACACACGAATGCTGCACGATTACTTGATAAAGACTCTGCTGCTTCACGAATGCGAAAAACATCCAAGAGAGGATGAATGGAATGAGTACGCCCTGCCAGATAGAATCAATGGAATTCTGTTACAACTCATCTCCTGCCTCCAACATCGTCACTGTCCTCACTACTTTCTGCCGCAGTTAGATCTCTTCGCCCAATACTCTGCTCCAATGCTGGAGTTAGCAGCTCGACGATGTTGGACACTCCTTCGAAGCCTCATCACCTGTCCAACGGCATTCCAGAGACTGTAAATAAACTTTTGGTGTTGTTCAACATAGAGTTCCTAGATCAAAGCCTCCCATTTTAAAGAACTTTTAGTTTGCAAGAGCTCTGTGTACAAATTAAACAAGCCGTGTACATTCTTTTACAGACTTCTTAAATTTCTGCCTTAATATGAGAGAACTTGCCTAATGGTGAAAAATACAAAATAAATAATTTCTTGCCATTTCAGTAAGATTCATTTATTCACTGCGTTTTTGAATAGTTTCTGAGTGCCTCCTTTTTCCCCCTCCCTACCCACTGTTAATTCCAGGTAGTAAGGATTTTGTTGCCGCTTCGGGGGACAAAAGTCTACATGTTTTAAGCATGCAGGGACAACAATTATTCCATTGCTTTTACCTCCCCTCTCCTTCTAAAATCTTTCGTTGGTGAAATTGACTATTCATTGTTTTATAACTCTGCTAAATTTTTAGCCTTTTCTGTCACTGAGTGATAGAAAACTTACGAACGGTACTTAGCAAAAATCGTCCGAGGTAGGTGCCAAATTGGTCTGGTCAGCAAATTCGAATTGCGCGGACTTCTACGCTAGTCAAATAATCGCCAGCAACGGGTAGAACAGTTGTCGCGGTGAATGCTCGAGGTGTCTGGCGTGGGCTGGTCCTGGGGCGATTTCCCATGAAATTGCCAATCCTCACCACGAAAAACCATGAGATTATCTTTTTGGCAGAAATTTGAACCGTAAAGGTTGGAAACAGTCAAAGTTTGAGAGTTGGAGTCAAGGTCGCGTAAAATGTGAGGCGACTAATTAATACTGGCAGGAATGACATTAGAGCGCTTAACACAATGCCTCTCGCCATGTTCACAACAGACTTTATCCTTTTCCGGATTTTTTCCCCTTTTTTTGGGACAGGGGAGGTTTTTACTGCATACATTAAGGTACAAATGATTTATGAAGGATTGTGTTCTTAAAAATCGCAGTGAAAGGCCCAGTTCTTATTCACCTTTCTCAAAAAATGCCAGTATTGTCTTTACTCATCCCCTTTCAATTCACTATAAGGCAGGAAACATGCTACTGATAACGTGGTTAGTAGCTTTCTGATGAATTTCAGCATGTCAAGGTTTTCAAATGGTAAATTTTTTTTCAAAAATGAGTAAGTGAATAGAAGGGCAAAAGAGAGGTCTCAGTGAGTATAAAGCCTTAGGCTCAATTCTTTTCAGACTAATCCGATGTTCGACCTTATGTTATGAAGAACAAATTCGGTATGTAAAAGCTCTTAACATTCCCCCATTTTAATCACTCATTTTCTAATTATTACTTTAAATTCCCCATATCTAAAGCAAATCTAGTTGTCATTGGTAAGCTGGGTCATAGTGCCACCGAGAAACGACCCTAACTACCAAGAATGCAGATCCTTGGCCCGCAGTACATTAACTAATGCGTTAGTGGACGAGAAAATACGAGCTAAGACCAAAGTTAGTACCAGTATTAAATCTAAAGCCAAAAAATGACTTGGAGATCGATGGCTCACTTGAATGCTTTGAAAGCTATATTGAAAAGTCAAAGAAAGTGGACTGCTTGATTGGCACATTCACTACCTTGGTTTTTATATCTGACCCCGACGTCAAGTATATGAAACAAGCGCTGTTTATCAATTTAGGAGTGCTAGTTTTGCTCATTTGTGTTGAAAACAGTTAGGTTAATGTAGAATGTCTCCCAGGCTTGAGGACATCTAGATCCTTTGGTCCTACAGCAGCAGGTGAATCAGCGAACTGTAAACCATCTGCTCTGTTGTGATAAATGCCCCTCTGTGATAATTTCTAACGGTAAACGTCTCCCTTTGTAGAAGACCTTCTTCACCAATTTTCAACAAGAAATTTTAGGTGAATATAGGAATTTTCCCCTTAAAAATGAACCGTCCAATGGAGAAAATTTAAGCCCAGAAAGGGCTACCTCTCTTATTAACCAACTAGTTAAATAACTCCAGATGCTATCGGCTTTGCCAATATTTAAGGCGAAGTAAGTTAGGAAGGACTGCCACGAGGCTGCTTCAACAACTGTTGCAATCTATCATCGTCAGGTCCACCACGTCAGTTGTTCACCTGGGGTGCGGAGCTCATCCCACTGCTGCCCCAACACCCCAACAGAAATGATTCGCGATGTACTGCAACAGAAAGTATTTTTTGCTAAAAGTTTTAGGCTCTCGCACACACGTTTGTATGCGTAGTGCCAAATCATGGTCATTCAAAGGTATCGGGAGTGTTGCTACTCTTGTTGATGATGTGCTTTTAACCTCCAACTCTAAACCACTGCTAGGAGGTAAAAATTGCAGTTTAAGTGAGACTGGAAGTAGAAAGGACATAGGAAAAATGAAAACATTAATGGTTTAGCACTCTGAGTCACTCCTGAAAAGGTAATAAGGTATACCATTTGGAATGTAGGTTTATTGTTGACCTACATAATGCAGAATGACTGAAAAGCTATAAACGCGACCGGAACGACTGCATGATACCAAAGCCGAAGCCATGGAGACTAAAGAATACGCACAGTTAAAGACATCATCAAAGGATATACCGCTTTATAATGCAATAGCCTTCTTTTGTTCACTCTTCTCCTCCTGTCTTAACAATTCAGAGCACGCATTTTAGTTGAAAAAAAAATAAAAAAATGGGAGAACTAAAGCCCTGACGGCCCATTACAACATGCCATCTAGAAGCGTTTCTAGTGATGGTTTATTTAAATGTGGGTAAAAAACGTCTACAGCGGCTCCCTATTCTTCATAATGAAATAAATCCGGAGTAAACATTCAGTCTTGAAGAGAACATCGTGGAAATTACTAGGAAAGCCTATCAGTGGCTTTGTTTAAACCATCTGCTCTCACTGCTCCACTATGGACATTTCAAGGTGGAACACCATTCCACCTCAGAAATGTTCTGCCCGCTCTCTGCCGGAGGCGAGGCGTTTGCATTAGGGATGTGCCTGTTTGATGCAAATCGGTAGAGAGAGATGGTACTTAGGAGAATCAATTGGTGAGCGGAAGGTCTAAGGAAGATTAGTGCTTTATGTAGATTGAGAGGGAAGGTAAGAATTGTCACTTCACTTTCATAGAGCTTCCTTCAACACCAGCTCCGCACGTACTAACGAGTGGGCAGGGTGGATGAGATGCAAAGCTTACAGTCGATTTTGGGGGTCATTCTGCCTACTTCTTAATCAAAATGGCCACCTCTATCCAAATATCCATTCTGTTCTCCCAGACCTATGAATTCAGCACGCAGGTGTTCTCGCGGATGAGCGAAGGCAGACCTTAACGAGCTTTCCATGACCTCGATGCGGACACACAGGGGAATGTGATAAATGCGCCTGGTCCTGTATGTGGGTTCGTTCTGTTGCGCAATAAAAAACGGTCCCTTTTAACCGTTCTTTACTAATCTCCCATGGGATATGCGTCCACTCATTGGGCATTGGAAGAACCGTAAATGAAGCTGGTTGGCAGACGTTTATCGTGGGGAAATGAACGGGTGTATATTATAACGAGAGGTTCGTTTAAAATCAACCAAGGCTTTTAAATTAGGAGATTCAACAGCGAAAATCTATCCTACTGGTAGTAAGTGTTTTGTGTATGCACCTTTAAGCAAGAATGCAGAGCCTGAAGGAATTTTGCTCTAAAAAGGGAGGAAAATTTATTATCGAGTGCTTTTACTCAGGTCCACAGATGATGTCAAATAAAACATATGAAATTGCGGAAATGAGACGCTCAGCTTCAGAGCAGTAGGACATTTAAAAGATGGTGGTTCCCTCGTCAGTCAGTAGTGATTTGTATTATTATAATCATGCACAAACTACTGCTAAAGACGATGTATCACTAGACATTCTTCATTTGGAAAGAAGTCAGAATGGTAAATATTACCCTAAATTTTCTAGTCTCTATAATATCCCTAAAAACGTGTATAATTTAATGCTTACTTACACGTAATTAAGTAGTGCTTAAATGACGGGCAAATGAAGTTGGCTGGGCGTGACCAAAGGGCGCCCCAGAAAAAGTTGGGGAACGAAGCAGGAAAAGGTGATGACAAATTGGTAGTGAATAAGTAAAATAAAGTTATTTAGTGCTATCGAGGTAGTCTCGTATGCAAGGCTGTCTGTCCTTCCACGAAACATAATCCACCTTCTATCATTTGCTCTAAAAAGTCTTCAATAAACTTCCCTAGTTGTCTTTACTTATCCACGAAATCAGTTATTCATCAAATTAGTTCACCTCTCTAAGAAAAGTAGGTCAAATAATTCTTCAGCGATGCCGACCTGCCTAAACATTTTGAGAAATGATTTTGAACGTTCAACTTTCAGGGCTAGAGGCTTTCCTGCAGGAGCAATAAAGCATCCTCGCTGTAGGGGGGACCAGTTGTTATTCAAATATTTAAGACCTCAAAGCCCAGAAACGAAATGTTTTTAAGAGAAGTGAATAGATCGCGATGTTCGGCAACTTCTAAAGCAATACGCGGACCCTCTCCTCAGCTTCCTGATTGGTTCCACTTCAGCTAAGCCAATTTTCTACATCCATCGCAGCGAGATTGTGTTTCTACTGCTAGAAGTCGTGAGACCACTTGGAAGAGAGCATGAGTATGGCGAAGTCGCTTGTGTGTTTAGTCAATATTGCTGAATGCTATATCCTCTGCATCATGCATCGCAGTAAAAATGCATTTGGGAAATAGCGCTCAAGATTGCAGCATTTTCCTCAACCAACGCATTCTGCATATCAGTCTTTGACTTCTGGTTTGAAATCTCCTCGTCTCCAGTCTTCCTTCTGTAATCTTTGTCTAGAGTCAACGCCTACATGGAGTAGCATGTCCGGAGAGGTGGACGAGGCCCCACTATTTCACTCTCACTTTGCTTGGAGCCTGATCGCTCCCTATCAAAGTCTTCTGCTTAGCATTCTCTGCTAAGTAACACGTCAATAGTAAGGGCTGCTTCATTTGATTGTGCTGATACATTCACCACATCTCCTGCACACTCTTCTACGATTTCGCTTTGTTCCAGTAATTTATGAGGCACATAGTTTGGAATAGGACTTCAGACAGCTTAGTCGGTAAATTCAGCAAAATTGTCATCGCTCCTCATAACCCCCAAACTGCGTGGCTGCCAAGGCCACAGGGGAGTGATTTAAAGCAGTGCAGACGCCGACCTCTGCTAGTAACCTCAGAGAGAAGCACCCACATCAAATGTCTGTCTTCTACATGATGCTATGGCATGGAAATCAGCCGAAGGGAGCGGAATAGTCGGCCATTTAAATGGAGTTTTACTTGTTGCCACCACCAATTTCGCTTCGTTAGTCTTTTTTGATTTCTTAATCCCCCATACAAGCATGGAAAAGATGGTCGGTGGCCATTCGGATGTACAAACTCCAGAGATGTACAGATATGCACTAAAACATGCCTCCAACCTATTTATTTACCCTTTAGTATTAAGCCAAATTTATCATATTCATCATAAATTACTGAAAGGAAAAGTACACTAGCTTCTGCCTCCCGTGTTTTCCTTTAAGTTGCAATGGGCCGCACTGATGCGGGAGAGGAAGGTGGTGTTAATTTATCATGGGCGTGCGTGAGACCTGGGAAGGTGGAGACTTGACCGAGGAGACCCGAACAGTTCAGCAAAGGTACACTCTATGGCCAGTAAAGAGCCCGCCTGGGTAGGCAAACAAATCACCGCATCAAAATAAGGACGACAACAACAACAACAATATTAGCAATTTTGGCGATTTCGGTTGGGGTAAATAGATGGACTGCCTGAAGGTGTGTGTCTGTATGGTTGTGTTGTTTTTTAATTATCAGCCAAACAATTTGGAAAAAGTGGACCAAAATTTGTAGAAGGACAGGGAAAGAAGGACAGACAATCAACTTCTACTGCTGCTACTGTTACCACCACCACCACCACCACCACCACCACCACCACCACCACCACCACCACCACCACACCACACAC